GACACCGGCTCATCAGCTGTCCCATTCGCGCTCTCCAGACGACGGAACAGAGTTCCTGTTACGTCTATACCTAGCTTCGTGATCCTCTGTCCTCTTCTTCTTCGACGTTCCTCAACGGTTTGCCACGTCTTGCACCCTAGAAAGGGAGAATTTAGTGCTCCATCGAATAAGTTTAACCCTTGGGTAACTGTGGTGGTACCACGTTTGGACGTAAAGTATGTGAAACGATGTCTGTAAATCCATTTTCGAAAATTTTGAATAATTTGTTACAGGAATGATAAAATTAGCGGACTTAGAAAGACTCCATTTTGGTAGCAGAAGATTCGTTTATCTCTCGTACATTTCTTTCCGACTTCTTCCAGAGGCTAGGAAACTTTATTTAACATCCTGTTAGTCCGTCAAGAAGCCGTGACTGGAGAAGAAGCGAGGGAATCGCGACTTCTCGTTAGCGTGGCTAGTTTCGCGGCGAAAAAGGAGTCCACCTTCCGTGTAAATGAAACTCGTTGGCGAGAAGAGGAGGATCAAAGGGCCCCGGCAGGTAGAGAGGGCTCGTTCACGAGTAAAGAGTAGTCGGTCTACGAGGAATCTAAAAAACGGGTTGGGAAAAAGGTCGAGAAAACGACGACGAACGAACGACGGCGAAGAAGATGAGGTTAGGCGGAGGAGGAAGAAGATTTCGCCGTGCAACGAGCGGCCATCCGGCGGATATCGTATTAACGAGGTCCGTTGATGGGTCCAGCCTAGATTCACACTGTCTAATTACACCATGGACCATATAGCGTAGAGACTTGTTTCTCGCGTGTTCGAGCGGATCGCGTCGAAATTATGGATCTGCCGCGGCTAACTGACGCATGACTGGCTGCGGGTTAAGCGAGTCAACGAGTAAATGAGTCCGAATTACGTGGGCGTGTCAATGCCATGGAAATGATCCTCTACCCTGGCCCGTGGCCAAGGAATCCCCTTTCCAGAGAGGATTATGCAAAGCAGCGATCGCTTTCTGACAATCGATGGCTTTAAAATCGGTTCGAGTAGACAGTTGTACTGGTCCAGACTCGAAGACGAGGCTAAGGTGCCATTTTTCGTAGAATCCTAATTGACAGGATATTTTTATTCACTTGTGGAAGTAGAAAATGCGTTCACTGGGTTCAAATTAAACAGAGGTCCAGTGACCTTGAGAAAATGAAGATTTCGAACTTCACACTCTACGAGGAAATTCGTGTTCACTTATATAATAGAAGAGGAGAGTGCATTCACCGAGTCAAAATTGAGCAAAGGTCCGGTGACCTTGAGAAACCGAAGATCTCGAACGAGCTATAGCCTCAAGCTTCACCCTCCATCAATCAGCAAATTTGCGTTCACGTTTAGAAGAAGAAAATGCCTTCACCGAGCCAAAATTGAACGAAAACCCAGTGACCTTGAGAAACGGAAGATCTCGAACGAGCTATAGCCCGAAGCTTCACCCCCTGTGTACCGAAGAAAAACAATTACCGTTCGATTAAAATTTACAAAACACCAGAGGCTCTTTTCCAAGGGGCAATTTGCATCGAATGGTCCTCCGTATAGGACGAGCGTAAATAAATCAGACAAACAAAGTGACGAGTTAAAAAAAGAGGGAAAAGAAACAGAAGGGAGGAGGGAATGTTTGAAGATCACGAGTATCGCACGCGAGCGGCACGTTGTTATTCATAATTTCAAGACGGCAAATAAAACAGGGGGGTTCGCGTGACACGATTAATTACACCCTGGAATGGATTGTTTGCTCTTTTTATCGTCGCGGCCTGGCTCGATAACGCCGTGTATCCCAGTTTCGATAATGTCCGTCACGGCCGCTTCAGCCCCGCTCGTTTATTCCTCCCAACGATGTCATTCTCTACCGTTTTCCATCCACGTTACTCCGTGAGGACAATGAGCGAAATTACGCTGATGTATTATACCGGTTGGATATCGGCTGAGTTATTGGTGTATCGGCTATATCGAGAAAATTGGCGGTGGTCATCATCGCCATTATGAATTCTTTATTTGGATGTTGCGGCGCCTGAATTACAGGGCGGTGTGGGCTACCTTGCTTACTGCTTCATATATGGACTCGTCGATCGTAGCGACGGCTACGAACCGACGTTTAACGCGAACAAACGTTCGATTCCCCTGAAAATTCGCCGATCCAAGCGACTCGAGGATATTCGAGGACATCGCGAGACTTGGATGCTCGTTAATTACGCGTCTATCGTCGCCTGCTCGTACGTCCGTTCGCGGAACATACGCACGAGAGATGGCACACGGTGAGTTGAATAAAGAACAGCGTGCAAATTGCGCGGGCTTTTTGAAACCGTCCGAAAAACTCGCTCGGCGAAGAGAAATTACAGCGATAAACCAGATACGTGTTATCTGTAAGAAGTTCGACGGTGGTATCTATTTCTTGTCTCCTCCAATTTTTTCCTTTCTATGTAACCTCATCGCGAATGTCCATCTCTCGCCGCGGCAGAAACGCGTCTTCCCGGTGCCGATGTATCGGCATTGCACACGAGGCGAACCGTGAAACGTGTAATCAACGTGTATATGCTCATCGCGCGTAATCACGCCTCTAATAGACATCCTAGATTCAGGCCTCGATTAATCGATCAACGACGGCGGCAACGACGCGTGTTTTATATCGAGATAATGACGACAGGCTAATGACGGGCTCATTAACGAGACTCGATATAAAATGGTTCCGTTTAGCATCAGATATTCCGCTAACAGGAAGTAGGTCGGTAATACATACGCCGCTCGGGTATCTTCTCGTATATCTCTCTCTCTCTCTCTCTCTCTTGTTCGGTCGAACGAGCTGGCGGAAAGGGTTGAAGGCAGACGGACAAAGATAGAAAGATGAAATGTGCGAACCGTTGCCAATGTCTGATTAGCTTTTCTATTTACGAGCGAGGCAAAGCGCCGTGCGAACTCCGCCAAACCACGCTCGGTGTTAAAAACACCGTTGTTTCTTTCTTAAGCTGGTATAGCAACGCGAACATCGTCCGTTCTACCAGTGTTACGCGAAGGAAGGTAGTTTTTCCAATGGAAACGGGAAAAACCGAGGAATGCTCGCGTTGGAAAATCTTGGTAACTTGAGAAATACTTGGACGACGGTTTATCGGTTGTTTTCGCGAGCGGTTGTGTAAGCGGAGTTCTGCTCGGTTATGACGAACGCCAGACTTCCCCTTGCACGAACTCAGACCGCGAATAGGCGAAGAAGTGACTTCATCTTAATAAATTACAGCCACGGGTAAACCTTGCAAACCGCTTCAAAAAGGTTCCCAGAAGGGCGGCGTGTATTTTCGGGACAATAATTCCTCCCGCGCGTCTTCCTTTTACACTACCGGATGCCTCCTCGAAACTTCCTACAGCGTCTTACCTTTCGCCTAGATAACGATGACTTCCGTTGCAATTTTTCTCTCGTCCCGCTTTCAATTGGAATCGCGTGTAGGATCGATTTAGAGGAGATCGTAGGGGACGATAGAACAAGGTACAATCATTCCTCACGTTTATTTTAAATGTCTCCATTTATTTCGACTCACTATACACTCTACTAAGGATCCGTTCACACACACTCTCACTCTCGTCCACCCTTTCACGCGACTATCACCTCGTAAACCATCAAGCGCGATACGGATTTACATCTTACGCGATCATAAAGCTCACTAATTAAACTGATGACCAGGTATATTGCAGTGTCCCATCTATATAAGTCTCTTTCGAACCGTTTCTTCCTCTCCGTTTAATAGTTTCTCTTCATCTTTTCGCTTTACCCTCCCTTGTATCCTCTAATCCATGCTCAGACGACGACGACGACTCTATCTCGTTTATGCGTAATATTAATCGAAGGAGGGTCGGTAGGGGGCTCTAGGGGATTTTGTGGGATC